GCTTATGGATGTTTTAAGATTGTTCCATTGGGTATCATTAATGTGGATTGCAGTTACAAAAAAAAAAATATTGTTAAAAGTCTTAAATTTCTGGTAGTAGAGGGTACAAAAAGTTCACCAATTTTGGGTTTTGAATCTTGTAAAGATTTAAAAATTCTACCAACAATAAATGCTGTGATTTGTGACTCAAAAGTGATTTTAACAAAAATAATTCTGATATTTTTACAGGTCTAAGAAAATTTCAGAAAAAATGTGTACTGAAACCTGAAAAGGATGCTTTGCGAGTTGCGAGATCACCCCGCAGAGTACCTGTGGCAGTTCAAAGTAGACTGAAAGAAGCTTTAGAAGCATTGGTTAAAAAAGGAGTTATTTCTCCATGCCAGGGGCCTACTGAGTGGTTGAGTAACCTGGTAATAGTAGAGAAGCATGATAAATCTTTGAGACTTTGCTTGGATCTTAATTTAACTTTGGAAAAAGAATTTTGCGTTGTTCCGACTCTGGATGAAATGCGAGCAAATCTCAGAGGCCAGTCATACTTTACACTTTACAGTATTAGATTTTAAGGATGGGTTCTACCAAGTAGAGCTTGATGAAGAATCAAGTAATTTATGTGCTTTTAGTACAATTTTCGGTGCTTTTAAATTTAATAGATTACCAATGGGTTTAAATTGTGCTCCAGAGCTCTTCCAAAAATTGAATTAGGAGAATTTTGCTGATTTGCCTGGATGTTTGACTTATTTTGATGATTCGTTAGTATTTGGAGACTCACTGGAACATGATATTAATTTAAATCGAGTTCTTGATAGAGCTAAGCAAATTGGTGTAAAATTCAATGAAAATAAAATTCAATATAGGGTGAGTGAGGTAAAATATTGTGGGAATATTTTTGGCTTGGCAGGAATGAGAGCTGATAAAGAAAAAGTTGCAAGATTACAGATTTTTTAAAAAGATATGACACACTTAGACATGACAAACATTTATTTGAAAATTTGCTTTTTTGTAATGACAGAGTGATAGTTCTCAAGACTTTACATAATGGCATGTTGACATCACTGCACGAAAATCACTTGGGCATAACAAAAACTCAACTTCGAGCTAAACAAATTTTATATTGGCCGCAAATGAATTCCGATATCGAAGATTTTGTTAGAAGATGTACAATTTGTGAGAAGTTTTCAGTAACAAAAAAGAACCAATGATTTTGCGTGATTTCCCAAATTTGCTTTTTAAAATTGTAGCCAGTGATATTTTATGGACTTTGGTGGGAAATCTTACCTTGTATTAATAGATTATTACTCTAAATGGTTGGAAATAATCCCAGTGAAGGACAAAACTGCGGATACTATAATATTTTGTTTGAAGATCATATTTTCTAGATTTGGAATTCCAGCGGAAGCAGTCTCGGACAACATGCCATATAGTGCACAAAAGTGTAGAGAGTTTGCCAAAGCATGGAACTTCAAATTCAGTACTTCTACTCCGAGATATCCACGCTTCAATGGATGTTCTGAGAGAGCAGTGCAAACATCAGAGAATATTTTAAGGAAATGTGAGGATTTGCAAGTAGCACTACTTGAATACAGAAATACACCTGTATCAGGCACTGACAAATCTCCAGCTCAGCTAGTGTAGTGCAGAAGATTAAAGACAAAGTTGCCAATTCCGACAAAATTTTTGATTCCAGAAAAAGTTGATTTTGAGAGTGAAAAAGTGAAGCTGGGAAATGAAATAAAATTATACAAAGATTACTACGATACGTCAACAACGCCAAAAAACGACTTCCAAAATGATGAAAATGTTATACTTCAAGAGGGGAAAACATGGAGTCCTGCCAGAATCATAAGAAAGGTTAAGAATGCACCTAGGTCATATCTGGTAGAAAAGGAAAATGGCCAAATAGTACGTAGAAATACTGTTCATTTCAAACATTCTCAAAACGATTTTCATATTGAGAGACATTTTCCTGATTTAGACAATTCAGAAATCAGTGTCGATCAGAAACAGAGTTCTGGAACAAAGCAAAATATTCCAGCGGATAAGCTAACTAACATGATATCTCCATGTAAAAGCAGGGGTAGAACCATTAAAAAACTAGCAAAATTTAATGATTATGTCGCTTATTAGAGACACATCATTAACTTTATTTTTAAAAGGGAAAGATGTCATATAATTACAAAAGTTACATTTTGTTGTTCTATTTTTATAATTTATGATCTGTTGGTAGTCACTGATTTACACCATAATAACTCAGTTGTTTGAGAACAGCTGATTCTAGATGCAGCGGATTTTAGACGATTGACAATAGTCAGGTTAGGTCTTAGGGTACCTACTTGCATGGAAAATTAAATTGATTATTGTTTATTGCAAACTGTAGGAAATCGAAAAAAAATCGTCACTTTTTTTTTATTTCGCCCAAATATGATTATTCCGGAAGTTATTCAAATATTAAATTTGTATATATATATATATATATATATACTGAGCATGTGAAACGTCACTAATCTATTAGATAAGTGACGTCATAGGCAGATTTCATAGTGTTGTATCTCCGTCAATTTTTGACTAAGAAGAAAAAGAAAAAACACGTGTTGAATTATTTTTCATGGACTATCGAAATCAGCAATAAAAAAATTTGATGCAAGGAGCCTATTGTAATTTATTTAAACTTATTAAAAACTATAAATTATATCTACGTGTTTCAATCCAATAACATAACAATGGTTATGCCAGTTTCCGTTTGGAGGACATTTGGTATGGAGCTGTGGGCTTTAGTTAGGTTTTGGAGTTCCTATATACCGCATCCCGAGCCTGTTTCAGTTTTGGATACTTTATAGTGTAGATGTTACTTACTCCTGCCACTGTGTTGTTACCAATGCCTTTCTTGTTGATTGCATAGTGCTTTTTGAAGACGAAGTATGGAGTTACAAGTTAGTTTGCAATCGAGTGTCACTCCCAGATATTTGACCTCGACAGCAAAGCTTAGTTCGGTTTTTAAGAGTGCTGGCGGAAGTACCAGTTTCCTCTTTTTTGTGAATAGGACCATTTCAGTCTTTTTGGGGTTGATGGACAAAGTGTATTCCGTGCACCATCTTTTTATAATTCGAAGAGCATCTTGAGTTCACAGAGCGGGTTTTCCAATTTACCTCCTTGCAAGATGACTACGTCATCTGCTTAAGCTATTGGTTGTTATTGTTTAGGCGGACAATGAGGCTGCCCAGAACCATGTTCCACAGAAGAGGTGATAGTACGCCTCCCTGGAGGCAGCCTGTTGTGACCAGTGGCTAATTTTTGGAAGGTGGTTTTGTCAAAGGCCCCTCCAATGTCGATGAATACCCTGAGGGTGGACACTCCACTGTCCAGCGATTTATCCACTCTCCCAGCAACCAAGTAGAGGGCTGTTGATCTCCCAGAGGTGTATGCATTATGCACGTTGATTAGGGTGGAGTGGATTGGTTGACACCACTTCATTCCGTATGTATAGTATTTGTAATACCCATTTAGAATAACCTCATCCTTATTTATCAATCATGAATCAGATGAAACAAAAAATTACCAACAAAAACGAACGTCGATTGCTAACACGTCAATTTCATCTACAAATAGGAAATTCCTAACCTGATTTTATTTGTGTGTCAAGAAGCGACATACGTTTTGTCACTAAAACGACAGGTACTTCTAAATAGGTATTAAAAATTCTATATGTACATTTGGCATAGCCTCTCCATTGTTTCCAGCGATAAAAATGAGAGTCTTATGGGGTGATGTGCTTCTGGGGTAGTGTAGTCTATCCTCCCTGGTTTGGGTAGGAACACTATTCTAACCTCTATCTAAGCATTATGTATGTATCTCAGCGCTAAGGACGCCCTGAACATCCCTACCAGGTGCGACAAGAGTAGCTCCCACGCCCCACTGAAGTAGGGCTGGATAGATGCCGTCCTGGTACTTTTAAGCAGGGATGGGCATCTGCGCTTAAATAAAAATTGTCTACGTCTGGTGTAAACAAAGCGTAGACAATGTAAACTATGTAATTTATGTAGACAACGTGTAAAATATGTACACAACGCGTAAAGTATACAATTTTTGACAGTTGGCAGGCCTTTAAGGTTATGTTTCTGTTTTTGCTTTTTTTTGTTTTTTGCTTTGTAAAGTTAATTAAACTGCAGATAAATGTCTGATTTGATACAATATAAATTTAATGCAATGCAAACTTTCAAAAAAATTAGTCATATTTCAAATTTTCTGTTGTCTACATAGTTTACATAGTCTACATGGAAAAAAGTGGATGTAAACAATACGTAGACAACGAGTAGACAAACCGCGTAAAGTAGATTTCATACTCTACGGCACATCCCTGCTTTTAAGGCTGAAATTGCCCAAGCTATTATTTCCTCGTGTATTATCTGATTTGCTATAGTTGCCAATCGTGGGGATACCTCAAGGCAGAGCTTTTTAAACACCCGTCCTCAAATCCTACAGAAACTAGAGGAGAAAATTCGTGAGAAAATCACTAGGATTGCTCCAGATATGCTGGTAAGAGTGGAGGCAAACTCACTTACGACATGTCAATGACAATGACAATTATACTGGAAGACGACATGAAAAGGGAACACCATTCCTCTGGAGCTCTTTCAGCCTAGGAATCATGTTAATACGAAAATATCTCCAAGTACATCAACACGCACTGGATGAAATTATATGCTCAATGTCGATTTCTGAGAAGTTAAGTGCCAAATGAAGATATCAGAAGATGAACTGATGTTGATGTGCTAGAGAAAAAACAGATCGCCAAATCTACATCAAACTCAGAGTATGGCGATCGAGAGAAGTGTAGGTAGAAACATCTAGGAAAGAACTGGATGTAGACAACCAAGTGTGGAAAAACTTGAAACAGGCCTATACACCCAGGAATAATGGATGTTTCAGATCTTAGAAGAAGTTATCATAAAAAGTTTTATAAATAAATACATGGCTCATTTTCACTATAGTATATACCTACTTACAGTCAAAACTGTTGTCCATCCAACTTTCTGAATCTTTTCAGCGTTAACACTTCTAAGTTGTTCCACCAATTCAGTGCTGTTACTACTATCGATGCCCAAATTGAACCCTAAAAGTGTCGACGTTAAAGAGGCTCTCGTATTCAACCCCCACAAATTTAAACTAGTGCCACTAGAAAGTATAGCTCCATGAAATAAACCTGCAAAACCACATACAGAAAACAATATATTTGGTGTTTATTTCTATACCTTCGGCAAGTTTTGTTTGCAACAATAAGTTAACCGAAACAGCACCGGCACTCTGACCAAAAACAGTTACGTTATCAGGCCTGCCGCCGAAATAGGCAATATTTTTTTGGACCCACTTCAAAGCTAAAATTTGATCTTTGATGCCCCAATTGCCTGGACATGCTCCGTCTTCGGTACTGAAAAAACCAAATATACCTAAAAACGGATTTTAAAATAAACTGCAAAATTTCCGAAACAATCTTACCAAGCCTATAATTAAAAGAAACAAAAACTAAATTTTGATCAAGAAAATAGTCGGGTCCGAACTTGACGTAACTTGAATTGCCTGATGTAAAAGAACCACCATGGATCCAAACTAATACTGATAGATTTGCCTTGGGCTGGAATTTTCAATGTCAAATTAGTTAATTTTCCTACATAAAAATACTCACATCAATTGCTTTAGATGGAATATAAACATTGATGTACAAACAATCTTCGGACCCTAACATTTCGTCCCCTAGTAAATCACCAGAGGCATACTGGGTACATTCAGATCGGTCATGAGTTGCGTCATGAAGACCTTCCCATGGGTCATTTTCAATTGGGCTCTGAAATAGTTTCAGCAATTTGATGAGAAAATTTCAAAATAACTTACAGCAAATCTAAGATTGTTCACTGGAGGTTTTGCATAAGGAATTCCTCTAAAGCTACAGTAGGAGAGGTTGTTGTTGACTGTTCTATGAATTTGGCCTTGTATCTCTCCATCGGGAATGGTCCAATTAATTGTCTGAAAAAGTTCATTGATGTTTTTCTACTTTTGAAAAAAAATCCAGTGTTTATTTTTGCTCTATAAGTACTAAATCAACATAATACTGTTAATATTTTATAATCCCGTTCTTCTTATTGTCTGGTTATATTTTTATCTTTAAACATTAGGTACATAAAATGTTGTTTGTACCACAAGTCCATTTTATGTAGGTACCTACGTCATGTACTGGAACTTTTTATGGAAAAGTTTCAAAGTCGTGTTAGTCTTTTCAGTTGAAGTTCGAGACAATCTGTAAGAATTTTCAAGAAAACACTTTTCGTTCAAATTCATCTTAGTACCTACTTCAAATTGCTTTTCAAATTCTTTTGATAATATAATTTATTATAGTCTTTATATGTTAGAAAAAAAAGTTGAATGGTAGGTACCTAGAAAGAGTATAGGTACCAACATATGCATATTGATTGTATTTGAGTCTACATATTTGGATAGAAGTTAATTATCAAATCTAAATTTGTTTTGACTTTGTATTCAAGTAGATGTATATAATATAATATATTTTCAATCTTAAGCCTTTGTTTACAAATTAAGTTTTAATTCTTTTTGACAATAAAGCATTATAACTATAATTATTAATACTTAGGAATAATTCTAAAATTTTAAAATGAAAAATCTATCAATATACATACTTAAACAGGATACCTCTGCCTGAAAGATGACGAGAATCTCAATTTACTCAACGACCAATAAATTCTATTCCGGACGCGTTTTGTCCTTTGGTGTATAGCAAAATATTTAAATAAATATTTTACTTACCCTTACTTCGTCTTCACATTTAATTCTGCTAAAAAATATAACAAGAAAGACCGAAACTATATTCCTTTGTAACATTATGTTGAAAAATGTATCAGATAATGATCTAAATTAGAAATTTTTTACTTTTGCATAAAATTCTTACCTTATTTATACACTCTAAGATCTTTACTTTCGCATAAAAGTCTTAACTTATTTATACGCTCTTAGTAGAAACAATATTGTTCATTATTATCTATTATTGTGGGTGCAAACCTGGGGCAGTCAATAAGTTTTAAACAGTAATTATTCTATGCTACGAGGGAAGGAGGATTGGAAAACTAGTCCAAGATTGCTCAAGAGCAACACCGTTACTAAAAATTTTAACCTGAATCCTAAGATTCTAACGCTTTTCAAAATGTTTCTGGAGATTCTAGAGTACCTATGTGGGTGTTTTGGAACGTCCTAAAAATGGGTTTCAAACATCTGAATTGTTCCAAAATGCATTTGAAATTGTAAATCGGCTTTTGAATGTTTTGGGGCGTTCTAAAATGGTTTTGAAATTTCTAAAATGTTCTGAAGTGCTACAGAATGCTTTTGGAAATTCGGAATTGAATTATAAGTGCTTTGAACTTTCCAAAAAGCTTATTAAAGTTCTAAAGTGTTTTGCAGCATTCTAAAATGGTTTCGAGTAATTTCTAAATTGAATGAGGTGTCATATTCCTCCATAATATCATGACATTGTACCTTTTACGACTCTCGAATACTTTCCCAAATAATGTCTCGCCGTCGCCGAAAGCAATACTATTATATGACCCAGACTTTCTGTTAAAGAACCCAAAGATATTGTATGTAAATAAATTAAACATTTGTCCACCATAAACGCCAAAATTCCCAAATATCCTTAATGGTCATTCTTTGGGCGAACAGACTGTCATTTATTGCCAATATTTATTTAGGGTTTTCCAGTTGTAATTATGTAGGTTTTAGAAACGTTTTAGAAGGGATGTAAAGGTCGATTTGTAAGAGATCTAGTGAAGCAAGAAGACAGTCTTAAGACAGCTTCAGTCGTAGTAACACATTTTGTTAAAACTCTCTCTAAAATAAGTCTTACTTTTGCTGTAGTTCAATTTCATTCTATATTCCATTACCTAATAAAGCTACAAGTTTCAAACCCAAAACAAAAGTAGTTTTAACCAAGGCAAAACACTGAAGGATCACAACAGATTTTGGCGCGGTCGGTACGATTCAGAAGTATCTAGCAAGATCCAGCAGGATTTGGATACAAAGATTCAAGACATACCATAGTCAGCCAAAGCTATCATCAGCGTTGACCAGTATTGGATTGAATCACAGTTGTTGTGTAACCACTAGCTTTCAAGTTTTTTGGTAAGTGATTTTTGTCTCTTAATGAGGTCACTTTTGTTTGTCTAACTCTTTTATACTTATATGCCACTATGACTCCTCCTGCCGTAAACCCAGACCTACAAACAATATTATTAGAAACTTTTCAAAACATTTTTAATCAACTTCCTTCGTCAAATTCCAACCCAAATAATGGTAGGTTTTCCGTAGATTTTTTATGCAAACTAATAGTTTTGATGGCAATCGTCTTGAATTAGGGCAATTTTTAGCGAATTGTAATAATGCCAATGTATTAGCACAGGACGATCAGAAAAATCCTCTTTTATATTTTATTTTATCTCGAATCGGTGGCAAAGCTAAAGAACAGTTAGCTACCCAAAACTTTGATAATTGGGATACCTTAAAAGACGCTTTAAAAACTTTATATCAAGACAAAAAACATTACGTTCAATTAATGGAAGAGCTAAATAATTGCAAACAAAGTCCTAACGAATCAGTGAAAGACTTTTTTCAACGTTTGGAAACAATTAACTCGCGATTGATATCTACTACTCAACAAAATTGCACAGAACCGGAAGAGATTCCTGGAAAACTGAAAATGTTGAACGAAATTGCTTTAAGTAGATTTATTTATCATTCGAAACCCGAAATTTCGCGAATGTTGAGATGGAAAGATTTTGATTCGATTAATTCTGCGTATAGTGCAGCTATTCCTGAAGAACGCGCTGTGGCTATGTCGCGCAGTTCAACTCAGTTTTGCAAAAATTGCAAAAACAACTCGCATTCTACAAATAATTGTTTCAAAACAAGAAATCATGATGCAAACGTAAGAACTTTGTTTACGAATAATCAGATATTTTGTCGTTACTGCAAAAAACAAGGGCATGTTATTGAAGAATGTAGAAAAAGACAATATAATAATAATGCAGGAAGATCTAATAATTCGATGAATTTCCATGTTAATCGACAGCATACTAACCAATCTCATCAAAACTCTAATTCCCAAAACTCAAACTATCAATGTAATAATAGAAATCCAAACTCTAACTTCCAAAACTCAAACTATCAACATAATAACAGGAATCAAAACTCTAATTCTCAAAACTTAAACCAAAACTCGAGCAATCAAATTAATAGAAGACCTTATCGAAATTCGACAAATCATAATCCAGTTTTTCGCGACTCACCTCATACGAATTCAAGGCAGAACGCGAACGTTAATTCAATTCAATACAATTCTAATGTACCAAATTATCAACCAAGTCATTCAAATTCTTTAAACTCCAACGCTCCTCCAATGACGAACACCTCACTGGAGGATCATCTCAAAACTTTAGCGGTGTTCGAGAACGACGAGAACTAACAATATTTCTTGCTGAAAATAGCTCAAGTTTCATTGAACTAGAAAGTAAATATTCAAAAAATCAAAACAAAAAACTCCGATTTTTACTTGATACTGGTGCAAGCTGCTCATTGATAAAAGCCAACAAACTCAATCCTGAGATAACTAAATTTGTTCCTGCAGAAAAAATATCTCTTCATGGACTCTGTCCTAATTCTCCAATTCAAACAGTTGGAACTACCACTATTCCTTTTAACATTAACAATCAGATTTTGAACATAAAATTCCACATACTAAATCAGGCTACAAACGTCCCTTATGACGGTCTAATTGGATTGGATTTTATTCAAGATCAAAATGCAAAAATCGATTTTAAAAAACGAACTCTATCTCTAAACTCATTGCCATTTCAAATCCCTATCGGATTAAACGCTAATCCTAACACTGGTTCTTATTTTGTTCTCAAATCTCGTACGGAAACAATAATAGAAATCAACGTTCTAAATCCGGAAATAAAAGAAGGGATCATACCAGATATGGAAATATCTAAGGGAATCTATTTATCCCGAGCATTGACTAAAGTAAATTCAAATAATAAAGCTTTTGCAACAATCTTAAACTCAAAAGTAATTGATTTTCAATTAAAACCTATTTCAATCTATTTAGAACAGATTCCTAAAGAAAGCTACTGTTATTTTGCTTCGGAACAAAGTACTGAAAATAATTTTATTAAAAATAGGAGCCAACTATTGAAACAAAATCTTAGATTAGACCATTTGAACCAAGAAGAAAAGAGCTTCATAACTAATCTTTGTGAAAATTATGAAGATATTTTCTTTCTACCTGGAGATACCCTTGGTTGTACTAACACTATTAAACATGAAATAAACATCTCTGATTCTAAGCCCATTCATACAAAAACGTACAGATACCCAGAAATTCATAAAACCGAAGTTAATAAACAAATCAATAAAATGTTACAACAGGGAATAATTCAACCGTCTGCATCGCCTTGGTCTGCCCCTCTATGGGTAGTACCAAAAAAAATGGACGCTTCGGGGGAACAAAAATGGCGCGTAGTGGTTGATTTTAGAAAATTGAATGAAGTTACAGTTGGTGATGCATATCCAATGCCAAATATCGAAGAAATTTTAGATCAATTAGGCCATAGTAAATATTTCACCACACTCGATTTGGCTTCTGGTTTCCATCAGATTCCAATAAGAGAAGAAGATAAACCAAAAACCGCTTTCACTACACCTTTAGGTCACTGGGAATTTAATCGAATGCCTTTTGGATTAAAAAATGCACCCGCTTGTTTTCAAAGACTAATGAATGCAGTTCTTACTGGTTTACAAGGGTTACAGTTTCGTTTATCTAGACGACATAGTTATTTATGGATCAGATCTAAATCAACATGTCTCACGTCTTGAAGCGGTTTTCGACAGACTCAGAAATAATAATTTAAAGTTACAACCCGACAAATGTGAATTCCTCCGTAAAGAAATCTCTTATCTCGGTCATATCATTTCTGAATCAGGAGTAAAACCAAAACCAGAAAAAACTATAGCAATAAAAAACTTTCCCATTCCTAAAAATCAAAAAACAGTAAAAAGTTTCCTAGGTTTAATTGGATATTATCGTAAATTTATCAACAATTTTGCAAAAATTGCTAAACCATTGACTAATCTTCTAAAGAAAGATGTTGCTTTTATTTGGTCTCAAGAATCTCAAGAATGTCAAGAATCTTTCGACACCTTTAAAGAAATTCTAATAAATGAACCTTTACTTCAATATCCAGATTTTTCAAGAGAATTTATTTTGACGACCGACGCTTCAGACTATGCGATTGGTGCGGTCTTAAGTCAAGGTGAGATCGGGCAGGACCTACCTATTGCATACGCAAGTCGTACGTTAAATTCTGCCGAACAAAATTATACAACTATGGAAAAAGAATTATTAGCAGTAATTTGGAGCATTAAACATTTTAGATGCTACCTATATGGTAGAAAGTTTAAAATTGTAACCGATAATAAACCAATCACTTGGCTTTTAAACTGTAAAAATCCCGGAAGTAGACTGATTAGATGGGGATTATTACTTAATGAATACGAATTTGAGATTATTCATAAACCAGGAAAGTTTAATACTAACGCAGATGCTTTATCTCGATGTCTAAATATCAACATTATTTCTAAAAATGATACCTTTGAAAATTTTATAGAATATCATTACAAAACTTTAGATATCAATCCGCAACTTGAAATAAAAAATGGAAATCTATTCGATTTTTTTCCAAACGCAGTTTATTTCTCAACTGATTTGGACGAAAGTAATCAGTTTTCAGAGTCCATAAAAAACAAATTCGATTTCAACGATAGCATAAAATCAAACTTTGAATTATATTCAACTTATAAGTTACAAAATAACAATAAAAAATCCTATTTAATGTTCGTGAAGACTTTTCATTTTGAAAATATTTCTTATAAAGA